CAGTCCCTAACATTCTGTGATTCTGTGAATTCTTCTTCATATCTAAATTATTATTCATGCTTAAGATTAGTGAGAAGACACCACAAAATTGATTAGAGCCACAAGATTTGTTTACACTCTTTTTCTGTCTTCATAGTTTACAAGACAGTGTAAGATGATTAGGTGGCACGAAGTGACACAGTTATCAGCTCTTAACTTTTGATTTCAGGACGTCAAAGGCTACAAGCATTTAAGTGACATCTCATGTATTACATGGAACAGGCTAAAAGGATCAGGCTGTGTGTGACACTGAGATGGATAAATGGGGCAGCTCCTAACATGCTTTAAAAAAAACCAATGATTTCTCATTTCCAGTACTTTTACAAAGATGTGTTATGCAAAAGATGGTGAAACAGAAGCCTTAAATAAAAACAAAAAACCAAAAAATCCCTCACACACATCCAAAGGAGGGAAAAAAACCCAAACCAAAACAACAAACCCAAAACAAACCAAAAAGACATCACAACCTACAACTAAGCTTATTTTCTATTACAAAACCTCAACCAAGAAAACTAAAAATTGTTTCAGTTTTTGAAGCTCATTCAGCCTCCTCTGGTAATTTTAAAGCTCACTTCCTTTACTAAAGTAAAGATGACACATTTTAAAATATAACCCTTTTTAAGGTTCAAGAGTAGATCAAAAACATAATTTACAACTGCAAGCAAGTGTATTCACCTACCTTTGTGGTGTCTGTTGACCAACAATAGCATTTGCAGTTTCTCTCAAATATACTTCCCAGTCCATCTCAGGAATGTCTTGATCAGCAGTAAAAGGATACCTACATAATAATAGTATTTTTAAAAAAAACGAAATCAAAGTAAACCATCACCTATTCTAGCAAGGCCTCAGAAGTAAGTTCATTTATATATCCGATAGTGTAATTTACATTACTTTTAGCAGTGACTTACTGTTGTACTCTGCAGGACTCACACATGAGTAGTGCTTTCCGAAGATTCCTGCCAGATTTCTCTGCAAGCCTTTGAGCCAGTTCCGGCGGAAGAGTCAGGCCTTCTTTCTTACACACACTGGTCAAGACATGGCAGATCTAGATGGGAAACAGACAGCAGGGAGTGCAACATTTAGCAAACAGCTTAGCACCTACAGATTCTCAGGCTTGAAACACTTCTGGACCAGAGACAGACCAGTTTTTTTTAAGCCATGCTTGACAAGTCACCCACCACAAAGAGAAACTACATCATTTTCTAGAGCTAAAGTTCTTGCTGCGGACTTATGAAATATTTATCTAGTAAGAAGTTTTAAATAACTTTTTTTTTCTTTTTTTCTGTATCAACATACATCTTCAATGCTGGGAGCGGGCACTCGTACAGCCAGGCATCTGCTTTGAATAGGTCCTATAATTTTTGACATGGAGTTGCAGCACAGGATCAACCTGCAGGTTGCCATGTACTTCTCCATTGTTCTTCGCAAAGCATGCTGAGCATCTTTAGTGAGTTTGTCGACTTCTGTTAACAGCACCACTGAAAAAGAATTAAAAATACTGAGTTTTTTATATTAATAAAATCTTCCTAAGAGAACGAGTATTCTGACATACAAGCAGTAATGCCAAATAAGTGATACAAGCAGAAAAAGGCAGCATGGTTCCACAGGTAGGAAAATAAAAATTAAGACAACCTGCATGCCTTTTAGACTGTATCATCTTCTGCTCCTTCACACTCTATATTCACATCCTAGAATGTCAGTTTCTTCAGAGCAGGGCCTGCAGCACTTCAGTGTCAAGAAACAGTCCACTTAGGTGTGGAAGCTTTCACTTCGGTAATTAGTAATTAACTCTTTGAAGGAATTTTTAAGTAAAATATGCAAAAAGAATGTACTGCATAATAGCATATCAAAAAGCACTAACTTACTGAATACTCTCCTCAATACATTTTACATTTAAAAGCCTATGTCTTAAGCAGAAAGCTGCCTTGCTACTGTGGTTGTAGCATCTTTCCATGGTCTTTTAAAGAAAAAACAAAACAAACAACCATATTTCAAAAATGCTTCAGAACAATCAGGAGACACCTAATAAAAAGCAGCTAACCTAACCAGCTACCTTCTGCAGGTTCCTCCATAGGCAACTCATAGATAGCTCACTTCAGTACTATGAACAGTCCAGTAAGAACAGCCTGGAGGAACAAGTCTGCCCATTATCTCATTTCTCTTTCTCATCCCATTTCTCTTCTGACTTACACAGCATCATTTGCCATAAAGTTATCCTGCCCCTCAACTCAATATTAAGCCTCAGTAGCTCATAACTCAGCTACTACTGCGGATCATTAAACTAAGCTCCAGCGCATTTCAATGGCAAACTTGGGAAAAAGACAGCAGAAATTGCAGCTCCCTCTGCCCAGCCACAGTCATTCAACTACACTCTGTCCGCCAAAGAAACCAACACACAAGACAACCTCATACTGAGTATTTAAACACTCAAGATATTTCCACAGTGGAAAGAGAATGGAAGGTTGTTAAATGT